AGCATGAAACTAGATTTTTTTGCTTTAAATATCTTATTTCCAAATAAACTACTACGAAAATGTTATTCTATTTATTCTCTACAACTTTCTTTCTTGTATCTTCAACCGTATTCGCAGCATTTTGAAAAACATGAAACAGATTATAAATTTTAAATATGTTTTCCCATATTTCTCTTGAAAAATTTAGTCGTTCGTTTTTTACAGCTTATTAAGAATGAAAAGCTCAACATTTTTGCATTTTTTTCCAAGCTTCTAGTGTTAAAAAGACAACAAAATCTAAAAAAGAAATACCTAAAACCAAATCGGCACAGTAATATAGATTTTTGACATATTTTGGTTTACTTTCACGCTTACATTCATATAAATATTCATTAGTAATTATTTATTTAAAACTAATAAACTAAATTGTTTTTTCAAAAACCGTTACTACAGCGCAAAATTCCTTTTCTACAAAACGGTCTGAACTCTATTTTTTAAGTGGAAATAACTCAAGTAGGTGTAAAAAGTATATTTTTTATAATTTGGTAATAACAACATAAATTTATATAAACAAAAACTCTTAATCGAACTTTTAGTTGCCACATCTGTTTTCTTTTAGAATTAAAATGGTTAAATGTAACAAAGTTGCTTTCCCAATTGTAAAAAAATTATACTTTACCGTTGTAGAAACATGTTTTGGCAACTAGATGCCATTATCAGCCTAAATTTAAATTACATTTTATGGCAAGAAAGTGCAGTTTCTTATTGCCTTTATTAAAAGCGATTTTGAAAAAAAATTAGGTTTTAGTAACAATAAATAATTTTCAAATGTTCTTTAACCGAAAATTTTACGCAAATAGTTTAGGAAAATTAAAAAACTAATTACTTTCTAAATGAGTAACACCAAAGGCGTTATTTTCATTTTAACAAATCTCTCTTTTTTGTAACGCAAAGACACAAGTTTCGTCACTAATGCATTCCCAAGTCTGGAAATAAACACAAAGTTAAATTAATGTAGAGTGAGAAAGTGCGATGTAAAATTCACAATATGCTTGAAATGCATCACTGGCTGTCACTTTATGATACACATGGAACCGAAAGACACACTCAATTTACCCTAAACTTGTAAGCAGTTTTCCGAAATAGCGTTTTTGTAACGTACCATTAAACTACAGTCTCTAACAAATGTTCTATAAAATATTCCCAAAGAGAATTTGGGAGGATCGCTCAAACGGGGTAAAATTCTTATATTTACTTACTTTCTCCTTTAGTAAATAAACAAATATATGGTAACGTTAACCCTTATTGTAAGGGTGCAAAACCCCAAACTAATTTCTAATTGTTATATCTGATGAAGATTAAATAGTTTAGTTTATTCGGAACTAACTTTCTGGAACGGTAGGTAGGTATTTACCCTGACACTCCCTCCCTCAAGTAATTTTATTTAGCCATTAATTTGATGTACACATATCACATTTAAATTTCAACTTGAAGGCACGCTAAATAGAGATTAAATATTTACGAATTCCGGCTTCTGGGACTATCAAAAACTCAAGTAAAGACATTGATTTCATCCCCAAAAAAATAATAATAATGGGGTTCCTTAAAAAATAAAAACAGAAAACAAATCTTCCAGAGTTAAAATTAAACGTATTTGTGAGCTATTACATTTTTTTTCTAAAATACAAATAGTACATAATAAGAAAATGTCTCTTAATAAACAAAATTTGTAAAAAATATTTAGTTATTTGTTTAAAAGTTAAAGTTTATTATTTTATTATATTTTACACTTTCAGAACGTACTTTCTCGGTTTTTCTCTGTTTTTAAAACATGATTTATTGCATTTTTTTATATAAGTTGTGCCAATTACTAAACTAATTTATAGATTTTGAAAGAATAATTCAAAACCTACCGTTGACAACTTTCTTCTTTTTAAAAAACTATTTAAAATTGATGTTAACCTTGAGATTTTGCACAAGCTAGTATTCATCTAGAGGTGTAAATACAATTGATTTTGGGACAGCCTATATACGAGTGTATGCCAAATTTGAGTGCTTGTACTCGTATTTATACAGGATGTTCTAGCTAAACCTTACACACATTAGAAGTTTCAGAAGTTCTAAGAGTGATATTTATCTAAAATTTTTATTATAGGCATAATCGGTTAGATCCTGCTCAAGATTATACCGGAAATGGGTGTCAATTTTGTTATTTTAAATAGAAAGTTATGTTTTTTATTGCGTTTTTGGATTACTCAAATAATTTTGAGAGAGTTTTTATCAGAGTTTCCTAAACCTAAATTAAACAGTTTTTGAAATATTTAGACTTTTTGAAATTTTTTTAATTTGCATCTTCTTCTCCATAAATCGATAACTCTACTATTTTTAATTATTTTGAAATCGGATTTGGGTATATGAGAAAGAAAGGTTAGATCTTTTCTTTCGTGTATTTTTAATAGGAAAAATAATTAACAAATCTCCAAAATTGAAGGTTACGTTTGGGAAACTTCAAATACCCGTAACTGAATTTTTTCAAATTGGAGGCCCCATTTTTTTCTTGACTAAATGAAAGAGAATTTAATTCTGCTTCGATCTGTATCAACATTCCCTTTATTTAAATTTAATGATTTCCAAGTTATTTTGACTTTTTTTTACAATGGAAGAAATTCATTATTATCCTTGGTAGTTTTCGCATAGTTTGCCATGGAAATATTTCTCATCGAAAAAACGCCAAGTTTTTTTTCACAATTGTGTCATTCTTTTCGTAAATACAAATTAAATTTATTTAATCTAAATTTGAATAACTTTCATATTCTATTTTTTTCCTTTTTCTATGACAATCTATACTAAAGTTGCTAATGAATTTCTCACAATATCAAAAAAAGTTACTATAACTTGAAAACTATCAAACATAGATATAGGGAATGTTAATACAGATCGAAGCAGAACTAAATTCTCCTCCATTTAGTGAAGAAAAAATTGGGGTGTTTCATTTAGAAAAATTGAGTTAAGAGTATTTGAAGTTTCCTAAACGTAACCTTACATTTTGACAGTTTGTTAATTATTTTTCTAATTATAAATACACCAAAGGAAAGACCTAATCTTTCTCTTTTGCATCCCCAAATAATATTAAATGGTAGAGTTATTGATTTTTGAATAGGAAAAAAAAATTAAAAAGGTCTAAATATTTCAAAAACCATTAAACTTAGGTATAGGGAAGGCTATTGAAAACTCTCTCTAAATCGCTTGAGTAATCCAAAACGCAATAAAAAACATAGCTTTCTATTTAAAATAACGAAGTTGATATCCACTTCCGGTGTATCCCTATGATTTTTTATAAATAAATTTAAATTTCTTACAAAAAAAAGAAAATAATTCTGTTGAAAGACAAATTTTAGTGTAGATGCTTGTTTGACAATAGCAAAACTATTGAATAAAAAAATAAAGAAAAAATTACATATTAGAATTAAAACAAACAATTTTCACTCATAAAGCAACAACACAATTTGTTTAATTCTAAATCTAGTTCAATATTTTTTCTGTTAATTTTTGTAGTGTGGCAAAAACAACACCTAAAAAAGCTAGAAGACCATGTCTGCTGTGTTAATTTTAGTCTATGGAACTTGAATTCAGAGAAATTACTCTTTTGAGACTACTTTTCCAACTATTTGAATCACATCGTCTCATTTGACAATTCAGAAAATCCAATACACCAAATAAACGTATCTCTGTTATTAAAGAAATATACGCTGTTTTATCCAAAACATTAATAAACAAAAATCCACTTATAAAAAAATATTTTTTAAAATTTGCGTTTTTATTCTCACAGAATGATGCAATTTACAATTTTGCTTGCCTGCAGAAACAGAAACATAATTTTTATTAAATATTCTGTTTCTGTTTCTATTTATTGTTATTTAACAATAAAATTTAAACAGATTTTGCTAGTTTCCCCCGTTTAAATTTCGATATAAATGTGAATGTAAAATAATACCATTTATTATTGTTTGCATAAACGCTTTTGTTTTCAAACCAAATATTTGTCACCTTTTATGAAATTTATAAACCTCTGTGTTAGCTTTTCATGTCTTTTTTGTTTATAAATAAAATAAATATAAATTATTATAAACTGTTTTTGCTACAGTTGCACTTTTACACTCGCAGAGCATAATTTAGGATAGAAAAAGCGCCCCGAGCCATTTCAGGAAGCTTTTTATAAAACTATCTAAAAGAGTAAGTTTTGCCACAGAATTGTTAGAAACGCGATAGTAAAAAAATCGCATTTCAACTCATTTCTTTGGCGCGTTGTGACAACGCCAATCTAGAAGGTTGTCACAACAGCACACAAAAGATTTTTGATTGAATAAGCGCGACAAGGATGGAACTAGAGCGAGTTAAGACTAGAGACAATAAAAGATAATAAATAAGTATCAGTCCTACCTACAAGAATCCCCACTACCAGGAACAACAACATTCTTTATTTCACGAACACATTAATTAATTCATGTTAAAATGTCGCGTTTTGGTCAGAAATGAGCACAGAATTCGTCCAATTTATGCAAATCATTGAGATGAATTGAGGATTGTTGAACGTCGACAAAGAGTTGATGCCATGTCCACCGTTATGTCCGTCTCTCGACGATACATCAACTCTCAGCCACTGGAGCAGGAAGCGTCGCGATGCTGAGCGTGCGCCAGACGCAATCCAACGGGGCGGTGTCTCATTTACGCCAATTCTACATACGATAATTACATGCCAGCTTACTAAATCAATGCATTCCAGGACAAAGGACGTTTACTTGATAGCATGCACGATTTTCAGGGGGCCCCCCTAATCGAGAGCTAATTTTATGGAAATTTCAGCCGAAAACAGGAACATTTTATCGCTGAAGAGATAAAAAGACAGTTGCAATGTTCGATTTCAGTCGCTGAACTTTGTCAAATAATAAATGCACATTCAGGGTTTTTAAATATCGGAGAAAAGTTTGCTCGTTTGCATTCAGTGTTGGTCAGATGGAAAAAGGCCCAAGTCAATTCGGTTTTCACTATTTTCGTTTCAATAATCTAAGAAAAACCCTACTAGTATTTTTTTTTCTTTGTCACCATCGTGTAGAACATCTTTTTATTAGTAAGAATCCAAATTTTGAAAATAATATACATAGTAGTTTGCAAGATATGATTTTTTGAAGTTACTTGAAACAAACAAAGAGTACCTGCGTACTAATTAAAGCAAATAAAGAGTTTTTTTGTTGTAAAAATGTTCACTGATCATTGAGCAAAAAGGATCTAGCAGTTTAAAGCAGTAATTTTTAGTCATATTTTGTTCTATAATATATTTTTAACATAAATTATAAAAAAATTATTTTTTCGTTTTTAAGGCATTTTTTATATATATATATAATTTGTCGTAATAAGCCGGAAAATCACTGAATTATGCTCAAATTGGCTTTCTTCAAGCAAATTTGCTTTTATAAAAAAAATATTTTCTAAAATTTCCTCAAAATAAGTCCAAAAATCTTTGAATTATATCTAAATTGGCTAAAAAAAAGCTTCTATCGTTACAGCTATAAAATCCTCAAAAACGGTAAGTTTTTGGGCCAGGGACTTACTTATTTTCCAAAATTTTATTAAAACTAGCCAAAAAATTACCAAATTAGATCTAAATTGACGTTATTTGGTCTTTTTCAATCATGTTWWSRTCGTTTGTTAACTAATTTTTTTTTTTATTTTGCGAGATTTCATTTAAAAAACTGAAAAACACCTAAAATTGACCTGTTTTCGACGATTTTACATGAAACTGGGCCAGAAACATGTTAAATTTGCAAGGTTTTGACATAAAGTACCCAATAAAATAAAGTCAACTATTTTGATTTTTTTCAATAAATTTACATTGTTTTGGAGTCAATTTATTTTCTAAGATTTCGTCATCGAATTATGCTCAAATTGGCGTTATTTTGGCTATTTCAAGCGATTTTGGTCTTACAAACTTTTTTATTTCTTAAAATTTCATCAAAATAAGTCGAAATACCTCGAAATTGAAGTAATTTTAGCCTTCATGTCATGTACGATTTTCAGGGGGCCCCCCTAATCGCGAGCTAATTTTATGAGAAAACAGGAACATTTTGACGCTGAATTTGCGATAAATTTCCTGAGGAGAGATAAAAAGACAGTTGCAATGTTCGATTTCAGTCGCTGAACTTTGTCAAATAATAAATGCACATTCAGGGCTTTTAAATATCGTTTGCATTCAGTGTTGGTCAGACGGAAAAAGGCACAAGTCGATTCGGTTTTCACTATTTTCAGTATTAAAAGATATTATGTAGTGCACCTTTTACACCTTTCAAAAAAGACAACTTTTCTCCCTTTCTTTTTGATTTGTCATTTTTTTATGTTTACCTTTTATTTTTAACTGTCTTTTTTTACGAATAAAATAAATTTACGTTTAGATTATTAGTAATAAATAAAATTTTGACGTATCTGTTAATAACAAGCAAACATCTTGGAAAAAAAATGAAAAAACATAGTAGGCCGATGATTTTCTAATTTGGCATAGGGACCTAAATGTTGATTCCAAACAAGTTTTCTTAATAACATTTTGTCGTATTTGTCATTTTACTCCATAGAGTTTTTTGAAAATTTCCAAGCCATACTTGATTTTTCAAAACTAAAATTATGTTAAAAATTATTTTTTTTACCTTTTATGAGTCGTTTCAGATATCCGGGGACACACTGTATAATATTAGGTAAAAGAAAGTAAATAGAATCAACGACAAAAATTAATTTGAAAACGTAACATTTACAAATGTAAATAAAAATAAATAATATTTAAAATCTAGAAAACAATATTAAGAACAAATACGAATTGCAAAATCTATTTGAATCCTCGTACTTACTATTAATTATTTTACTTTGATCATGATTTAACCTAAAAAAGTTTTTTTAAAAACAAGGACTGTTAATTATTTTGGGTGAGACAGTAAATAATAATTTCATTTTATAATTTATAAAACTGCCCCAGGTACAATATTTACAAAATTTTAAAGCTCAACTATGAGAAAACTAATACAGGGTGCGCCAGAACTCGCGCTCCAGAGAAAAGTAAGATAAGTACCAAGAACATGGAAAAAATGTTTAAAAAATTTCCTGAGGAGAGATAAAAAGACTGTTGCAATGTTCGATTTCAGTCGCTGAACTTTGTCAAATAATAAATGCACATTCAGGGCTTTTAAATATCGGAGAAAAGGCCCAAGTCAATTCGGTTTTCACTATTTTCGTTTCAATAATCTAAGAAAAACCCTACTAGTAATTCTTTTTCTTTGTCACAGAATCCAAATTTTTAAAATAATATACATAGTAGTTTTCAAGATATGATTTTTTGAAGTTAAGGTTTGCTAATCAAGGGGAGAAATGCATTAATCTTACTTAAAATTGCATTTTTATAAAAGTATTTGCCTTTGGTATTTATTTGGCACCTTCTTTGTTCTAATTAGAATAAACAAAAAATTGTTTCTTTACTTAAAACAAACAAAGAGTACCTGCGTACTAATTAAAGCAAATAAAAAGTTTTTTTGTTCTAAAAATGATCACTGATCATTGAGCAAATAGGATCTAGCAGTTTAAAGCAGTAATTTTTAGTCATACTTTGTTCTGTAATATATTTTTAACATAAATTATAAAAAAAATATTTTTTCGTTTTTAAGGCATTTTTTTTTATTCAGGCTGCGCCAGAACTTGCGCCCCAGAGAAAATTTTCAAGTAAGATAAGATATCAGGAACACGGAAAAAATGTTGAAAAAATCCTATCTGTTAAAAAATTTTGACATTTGACATTTTTTATGTCTATTTAATGATACTGATGATCTTGTATATGTTTTTTTTACAATTATTTAGTAAAGGTACAAAAATTTTGCCAATAAAAGTCACAAATAACATTGAACAGAGTTACAATTTAGGATACAGCTTCCTAGTTTTCTCTTTTAATAGCCTATAGCAAAAAAAAACTTGGAAAATTATTTTTCCAACAGAAATAAATATAGTCAAAGTGCAAAATTTAAACCCTTATTACTTCGAAATTTTTATAGATAAAATTTTTTTAACATTTTTTCCATGTTCCTGGGATCTTACGTTATATGGCATTTTTCTCTGGGGCACGAGTTCTGGCGCACCCAGTATATAATTTGTCGTAATAAGCCGGAAAATCACTGAATTATGCTCAAATTGGCTTTCTTCAAGCGAATTTGCTTTTATAAAAAAAATATTTTCTAAAATTTCCTCAAAATAAGTCCAAAAATCTTTGAATTATATCGAAATTGGCTTGTCTGAAACGATTTAGCTCATTTTAAATCATTACAGCTACAAAATCCTCAAAAAACGGTAAGTTTTTGGGCCAGGGACTTACTTATTTTCCAAAATTTTATTAAAACTAGCCAAAAAATTACCAAATTAGATCTAAATTGACGTTATTTGGTCTTTTTCAATCATGTTATGCTCGTTTGTTAACTAATTTTTTTAATTTTGCGAGATTTCATTAAAAAAACTGAAAAACACTTAAAATTGACCTGTTTTCTACGATTTTGTATGAAATTGGGCCAGAAACATGTTAAATTTGTAAGGTTTTGACATAAATTACCCAATAAAATAAAGTCAACTATTTTGATTTTTTTCAATAGGTTTACATTGTCTCGGAGTCAATTTATTTTCTAAGATTTCGTCATCGAATTATGCTCAAATTGGCGTTATTTTGGCTATTTCAAGCGATTTTGGTCTTACAAACTTTTTTATTTCTTAAAATTTCGTCAAAATAAGTCGAAATACCTCGAAATTGAAGTAATTTTAGCCTTCATATCATGTACGATTTTCAGGGGGTCCCCCTAATCGCGAGCCAATTTTATGGAAATTTCAGCCGAAAACAGGAAGATTTTGCCGCTGAATTTGCGATAAATTTCCTGAGGAGAGGTAAAAAGACAGTTGCAATGTTCGATTTCAGTCGCTCAACTTCGAACTTTGTCAAATAATAAATGCACATTCAGGGCTTTTAAATATCGGAGAAAAGTTTGCTCGTTTGCATTCAGTGTTGGTCACACGGAAAAAGGCCCAAGTCAATTCGGTTTTCACTATTTTCGTTTCAATTATCAGTGAAAAATAACATGTAGTGCACCTTTTACACCTTTCAAAAAAGACGGGTTTTCTCCTTTTTTTCTTTCATCATACGTAAAGTGGGCTCATTGCAGTTGAATTCGTTTTACATGCTGTATGAAAGCATACGTGAAAGTAAAATTATCTCAATTACGTTAAAATTTACATCTTAATATTGTTAAGTTTAGTATAACAGAAGAAATAATACTATGTTATTATTGACATTTACCAATGTTGTTTCTTTTCCGTTTCAGCAATTTCTAGAAATTATTAGCATTCGATATTTTGCCCTACTAACTGCACTAGTTAAATTAATACACATTTCACCGCGCAATGTTTGTTTATAAGTGTTGTTATAATTTCATTACTTGCAAAGCGTCTTATTTTGTTCATTTACTTAATAGTAATAATGTTGTTCTCTATCTGATACGTTTGCGAATAAAAAGTATATGTTATTTGGAGCTCAGCTGAATTATATGCCTCACTACGTTCGGTAA